TCTTCCAGACAGTTCCCAGAATTAGGCCAATTCTTTTGTAGCCACTTTTCCTCTGTCTTTATCTTACTGCCTGGTAATATTTTCTATTCAAAACATTAAATGTGATAGCTAATAATATTAAATCATATATCTGAAGACATGGATGAATGGACATGGTCTTCAATATCTGCATGTCAAAAGTGACATCTGGAAGATAGTATAATGCATGCAGTGAGAAATAGAAAAATATATAGCTGTTAGCACTGGAAAATAAATTTATCAGACGGATGGGTAAAGTGTCTTAAGAGTCCTAGAGCCCTGTCATTTTTAGATCCAGATATCTTAATTAGAAGGACTTGCCCTTTTAAAGTTGTCTGCCTATGCAAGAAATAGCTTCATTAATCTTTGCTTTGCATAATAATCTAAGCACTTGCCCAAAAGGTGTGAGATGCAAGTATTTGACTTCTTTCCCAGCTTGAAAGAAGTCAAACCCACACCCCGACTTATTCAGAATAGTGGCCTAAATAACTGGTGGAAAACACAAAGGCACAGAAAGAATTAAAAAAACAGATCTGAACCTTAACAGGTCTGAGCTTATCTGGAGAAGGAGAGACCTAGGTTACACAGCCCACTTCAGAGACCATATTTTTATTTTGAAGCAACAATTGTCCACATAAAATACAGCAGATGTACTCTGATCACTAGACTGCAATACACACTGTTGGCTCCAGTGTTCATAACCTTTCTGTTTCTGAATGGAAGCTGCTATGGCTGCCTCATTTCATGTTGAAGTCATAGAATCATAAAAATCACAGAATCAAATAGGGTGGAAAAGACCTTTAAGATCAAGTCCAACTGCAGGACTGCCAAGACCACCACTAAACCATATATCACTGAGGGCCTCATCTACACAGTTTGTGAACACTTTGAGGGACAGTGATTCCACCACTTCCCTGGGAACCCTGTTCCAATACATGACTACCCTCTCAGTGAAGAAATTCCTGCTTGGAAGTCCAAAACTTAAACACATAATTAGGTATCTCCAGTTAAAGTATAGTTCTAAGCACATATTTAGGTATGCAGATGTAACAGTCTGATACCGATGTACCCATGCAGCTGAAGCTTGTAGCTTGGAAAATACAAATCACACGATGTTAGCTAGATGTAAACCAGCCTTTTAGACTTGCAAACATAAGTGTTGTTTCTTTTCTGCTATTTTCAGGTTCTTCACCTGATGAAAGTCTATGTTCTCTGAGATTGGAAATCACAAGCTGTGTCTGGGGTCTCCCCGTGTCACGTTTGTAAATAATTGCCAATTATACCTGAGCACTATTTCATTGACATGCTATACATACTATCAGATGCCTCATGCTGGAGCTGGACAGTAAATTACAGGATTTGCTTATGCTTTCAGAAGGTGTAATACCTTCTATTTTTCAGCAATCACAAGTAATCCATGTGAATTTGCTATCACATTAAAAATAGGGCTGATGGGAGCCTGGCTAGCACAGCAAATGATATTAAAACTAATCTGACATCAATCCTACCTCTCATTTATCACATCTCAAGAAAAAAAAAAGAAGGTAATAACTGTTGTGACAAATATAGGTGGGTCCTCCAGGAAGAGGCAATGAATCCCATACTTTGTAAGAGGCAGCATCAAGAAGGAAAATAAAGGAGAACTCAAAAAAGTAAAATTATTCCAGAGGAGTCACTGAAAACTGGAGCTGGCATTATGCTTGAAATTTGCAGGTACCCTTTTCCACACTTCAGTTACTGTATATAATTTTCAAATTAAGTACCATCATCCATGAAAGGATCCCAGATTTTTTTAATTAATTTGCTAGAAATTTACTCATTTCTCTTTTTTAATTTTATTTTTTACATCCCAATTTAGATAATTCTAATTAAATGCAAAACCTTCAAACCCAACAAAGTAATTCTGTAGATCTAATGTTTTACACAAGTAAAACATTTATCAGCTATAGCTTAACAACTATTGCTCTGAATTCTGTGAGCCTCTGTCCTTAGATAATAAACTAGGAATAAAGGAATAAACTGAGAAAGACCTGGGACTCTGTGGAGACTGGTGGAATTAAATGAGTTTGGGGAAGCACGAAGGAGTGATCAGAAGATCCCTGTTTTTCACTCCTGATCTCTCCAGTTCACATCTTTCTTCCCACTTATATCAGAAATAGCTATAAGAATAGCTTTTAAAACAGGGCACAGCTGCTTAGGAACAGGGACTACCACTTGATTCTTTGAGTGCACAGTGCATGACAAATATGAAGTCCCTGCGTCACTCATTACTTTTGAGCTAGGTTCTCAACAGCCCTAGTCAGCTTCAGTTCCAGCCAAGCAGAAACAGAAAGATGATGCTGTAATTTCTATATATAAAATAATAACAAACACATAAAAAAAGGCATCACCACAGGTTAATGGCTTATATTTATTTCTTCCAGATAGGAGAGAAACGTAATTAAGTCACTGATTTTATGTGAACTTGACTGCAGTACCACCTTTTTTGCAGAACTACTTAAAGGTAAATTGACTCTAAAAGGGCAATTTTTCATATAAGTATATAAACACAGTTGGGAGCTGAAGATCATCACTCACACCTTAAGGTGAGCAAGCACATATGGTAGAGGGAAAGTTGATTCTGAATTTGAGAGGATGAACTGTTTATTACTTGAATATAAATTAGTTATGAAACGGTCAATAAATTACTTATGTTCCTTACTTATTACAGTTTGCACTGATATTATGTCTCAGCTCCTTAGCTAAAAATGCTCTCTGAGTTGAATTTATAAAAGAGCAGAATTACTATGATTCATCTTTACACCATTGTTGCCACAGCCAGATTGATCCAACCTGGGCTCTGTTTGCCATCCACTGGAAGATCACTTACACAAGCCATTAAAATCACCTTTATTTGACCTGCCCAGTTCTGTTTGGCAACCCTTATGGCTGATTTGTTCATCCCCAAAAGTATAGATATAGAAACAAGACTAGTGCTCGATGAGAAAGACTCTGTCACTCTCTCCTGAAGTGCTACCTCTCCAACAGATATGCTTTCATCAGTGGAGAGATGCAGCAGAGACAGTCATGAAAAGTACGTAAAAGAGTGATATTTTCCTCAGGTATATTAATAGTACACGCTTTTGGAATTTGATGCGTATGTAAGATGGGACTAACAGATGCACTAGCAATTTTCAGTGACTGCATACTTATACTTGGGAAGGAATCTGTGGATATTTTCAAATAACCAACATTTGCATGCACATTTAAGAATATGTATTTACACATGTATCTAAGAAAGAGCGAACAAACAAAACCCCACACATGTCCATTTTTTTCTCAATTATTTGGCTATTTCCAAAGTACATTTTCACCTGGCTCCTTTTCTTAAAGCAGTCCTCAAGTAGTGAGAAGTGTCTAGAATGACACTTTGCTGGCTCTTGTTAACACACAGAAGAGTAACATGTTGTCTCAAGGGTCTCACTAATAGCAGGCGGGGTAAAAGATGTGACTATTGTAACACTGAACAACTTTTAGAGTGATCTCATTTATCAGCAGTAAGGCAGAATGGGTCTAGGGCATAACTGTCCCACATTTCCTAGCTGCACTCAGCACCAGCACAGAGAACAGTGATGTGTTGTTCTATGTGATAATGTGATAGGTCACTCCAGTCTCTTCCAGACTGCAATATAGGATTGCTTAACGTACCCTTCACATTTATTTTTTCACCAGAAATACACTGTGTGTCATAAGAAAAACAGGCACCTGCTTAGATATTGCATTCATACCAAATACTCATAACAACTCTCGCATGTTCAATCTTGAGAAGTCTGATTTGTAGTTATATATCTTGAGCTGAAAAATTATTCCCAGTGATCAAGATTTAAAAGATATTTTGAAAAAGTAGTAGAAATTACAAAAATAGGGCTTATTTCTTCACAGGATTATATTTTGATAAAAAAAAAAAAGATGCACAGTTGAATACTTGTGAGTCTGCATTATGCTTATATGGCACAACATCAACTCTGGTTTTGAATTTATAGTTCACCCCACTGTGAATTTTCAGTTTTCCATTGAGATTTTTCCGTAAAAAAATGGTGAACCAATTAAAATTTCAGGGCAGTATCAGCTGAAGAAAAGTTTGTCCTCTACCCCACTGTGAACATAGCTGTGCAATAATAGCAACATCTATTTCTGATGTCTGGTTAGCTTGTCCCTTTGCATGTAGGCGACTTATCTTGTGACTGTGTTCTCTTCTGCTGATATAATCTCTTAAATAAAGCTTTAGTGTTTACTTTCCTTAATTGAAGTACAATAGGAAAGAAATCGCTTCTAAGAAGCTTCACTTTAGTCACTGCCTTGGAGCTCTGACAATGTTTCAAGTTGTCTTTCAGTGTACTTCAAAACATCCTTGATACAAGAGTGCATGTGGAAGTGGAGTGGGAATACCAATGGAAATTATATCTTCTGCAGAGTTGTAAAAAGTTTATTGAATTGCCATCCTTTTTCCAACCTTCCCATGGTGGTTTTGAGCCTCTCACTGCTCTAAGTGATCAAATTCTGCAAAATTTTTTTCTTTCAGGTCTTATTTTGCTGCTTTTTGGAGCTGAATATTTATTTGAACATATAACCCACATTTATTTATTCATTAACAAAAAAAAAAATAAATCCTTTGTGGGTTGCAATCATCAGAAACTCTTACAATATTTAATATCATTTTAATTCACTAGTCCTAAAAGGGAACATTTAAACAATGAAGACCAGCCTTGTACTGACAGATGTATGGAAAAAGAGACTTGATACTGGCAGATATTTTCTTTTTACCCTGGACTATACAAACTTATTTAACAGTCTTCTGCTCCCAGCAATGAAAAAAAACCCTATAAAAACATTACAATACAGTATAAAATAGAAACTCATAGCAACAATAACCAGCATGCGGCTGCAAAAATATCAATTAATTGCATATGCAAGCTGAGCAAGAAAAATGGGATATTACTTACTGGTAAGAAAATGCTGGGAAGTAGGGCCAAAATCCCTGTGAGCTTCGTGCAGTTGCCTGATGCGCTCATCAATGGCCACCTGTTGAGAGGAGGAAAATAAAAAAGACTCTTTTCTAAACAAGTAACAAGAAGCAATTCTAGTCAGATGCTTTTCCCATTAGAGAACATTCTGTTAAAAATTAAGCAGGCTTCTGCAACAATCATTACCCCTCAGGGCTTAACTGTGATTTAATGTTTTATCCAAAGGAAAGGAGGTAAAAAAAAGTTGGGATTGGTTTTCGGTGTTCTCCCCCCAAATTTTAAATGGTGCAAGAACAAGTTGAAAATGGAAAGGCTGACAAATAAAAGCGGAGCAAATTGGCCTGGCTTCAAGAAAATATGACTGTTGCTTGCCAGTACTGAAAACAGAGACATTCCTCTACATTAATACTTTTACAGCACTACCTCAAAACTACTTTTTGAGAGTACAGTATTATAAATCAGCATGTGAAAAGTAATCTCTTTTAATGTGTACATGATAAACATATTTTAGCTGAGTGCAGAAATGAGGGTAACCAAAGAGCCTCTGGTACAAACATTTCTCTGTTCTTTTAATCAGTCAAATCCTAGCCCCTCAACCCTTTTCTTTGAAGAGTCTTTTAAAGAACACGTTGTTCCTAACGTTTTGTTGGTCTGGTGTACTGCATGAAAACATAGATGCTAGTTGTAAGGTTGGTTTTATCTTTACCCTTGAAAATCCCAGTAAAGTACCAAGCAAGCAGTCAAGAGGACGTGATTGCCATAAGGTTCAATAGCGTACAAATTACATCTACTAGCAGCTTTATAGCCTATATGCTAAAAGGATGCCATAATCAAGTTAGACCCAAGAACAGGATCACATAAAGCAAGGCAAAATATTTGAAAGTAATGATAGAATATTTTAGAAATGTTTTAAGTAAAATAACTGATAAGGAGCATTCACTCAATGTAAATAATATCTGTAAGGAAACGTGTTGTGTCAAAGAAGAATGTAAAAGTGATCTGGTTTTATCATCCCAATTCTGAGGTATATAACATGGAAATAAATAGGTAAAGCAAAAAAAAAAAATTAAGTAAAAAGCGATCCACATTTTGAAAAGATTTTTTTGGTTGGTGGTAGGAATAAGCAATTGTGTAATAACGGGGCATGGTTCTGTTAGAAGGAAAACATAATGACAGAATTGACTAGCTCTTTGATATGGGTGTCTTTCTTTGCCAAATATTCTTTAGCCCTCAAAATCTTGTTTCACTAAACAGAACAGAAATTTAACATTAGGACATGATTTTTCTGCTTACAGTTTCAAAATTGACAGTATGACCAAAAGGCCTCCCCTCTCTTTCCTCAAGCCATTTTTTCAGGTGATTTTCCTGCAGCTTCCTCCATTTCTGTGATTCTCTTCTGGCTTTCTATACACAGGCACGACCAATGTGATTTTTTTTTTTTGTTAGTCCCCATTGACCAGCATTTCACCATATAGCCTCTGTTCTTACTTCTACTGTTTTCTTGAACCCAGAATTGCTCACAGGGTAACATTTTTACTGGTAGGTTTAAGGCTTGATTGCAGAACCTGTGCTTTTTCTGTTTAATTTTGCTGATTGCTTAGCTAGATAAAGCTAAGCCTAGGATGAGGCTGAACTGTGGTCAACTTTTGAAACCTTGTGCAGAAGAAACCTAAGTAAAGGACAGTTTAAGCCCAGAGTGAATTGCATCAACAGATGTTCTCTTAAGCAACTCTTCAGACGAGGAACTGCCTTTGGGCCCGAGTTCACACCTAATTCATAGCATAGACATAAGCTAGTGAAGTCTAAGTGCATAGAAAACAATGATAAAGCTGTTTCTGGTCATCAATATCATTAGCTCCAGTACGGAAGCAAAGATTAATGTTATACTGCTTTTTTTTTGAGACCATCTTAAAAACCTGAACGTGCACAAGTCCATGGGTCCTGATGAAATCCATCCATGGGTCCTGAAGGAGCTGGCGAATGAAGTTGCTAAGCCACTGTCCATCATATTTGAAAAATCATGGCAGACAGGTGAAGTTCCCGATGACTGCAAAAAGGGAAATATAACCCCCATTTTCAAGAAGGAGAAAATGGATGACCCAGGGAATTACAGACCAGTCAGTCTCACCTCTGTGCCTGGCAAAATCTTGGAGCAGATTCTCCTAGAAATCATGCTAAGGCACATAAAAAATAACAAGGTGCTTGGTTACAGCCAGTACGGCTTCACTAAGGGGAAATCCTGCCTGACCGATTTGCTGGCCTTCTATGATGGGGCTACGGAACTGATGGACAGGGGTAGAGCAGTTGATGTCATCTACCTGGACTTGTGTAAAGCATTTGACACTGTCCCACACAACATCCTTGTCTCTAAATTGGAGAGACATCAATTTGATGGATGGACCACTCAGTGGATAAAGAACTGGCTGGATGGCCACACATAAGGAGCCATTGAGTCAATGGCTCAATGTCCATCTGGAGACCAGTAAGGAGTTGTGTCCCTCAGGGATCGGTGCTGGGACCGGTCTTGTTTAACATCTTTGTCACTGACATGGACAGTGGGATTGAGTGCACCCTCAGCAAGTTTGCGATGACACCAAGCTGTATGGTTTGGTTGGTACGCTGGAGGGAAGGAATGCCATCCACAGGGACCTCTACACGCTTCTGATGTGGGCTGATGCCAACCTCATGAAGTTGAGCCATACTAAGTGCAAGGTCCTACACCTGGGTCGGAGCAATCCCAGGCACAGCTACAGGTTGGGCAGAGAAGAGATTCAGAGCAGCCCTGCGGAGAAAGACTTGGGGGTGTTGGTCGATGAGAAAATGAACTTGAGCCGGCAGTGTGCGCTTGCAGCCGAGAAAGCCAACCATATCCTGGGCTGCATCAAAAGGAGCGTGACCAGCAGGTCAAAGGAGGTGATCCTGCCCCTTTACTCTGCTCTTGTGAGACCTCACCTGGAGTACTGTGTGCAGTTCTGGTGTCCTCAACATAAAAAGGACATGGAACTGTTGGAACAAGTCCAGAGAAGGGCCACGAAGATGATCAGGGGACTGGAGCACCTCCCGTATGAAGACAGGCTGAGAAAGTTGAGGCTGTTCAGCCTGGAGAAGAGAAGGCTGATAACACAGTGATGTTTTAGTTGTTGCTAAGTAATGCTTACCCTGATGAAAGACTTTTCAGTCTCTCATGCTCTGCCAGTGAAGAGGGGCACAAGAAGCTGGGCTGAAGCAGACAGGACACCTGACCCAAACTAGCCAGAGGGGTATTCCATACCACAGGACATCATGCTCAGTATAAACCAGCTAGGCTGGGGTGAGTTTTGATTAGCAGGTGGTGAGCAATTGTACTGTGCATCACTGTTGTCTATTATTTATTCTTTTCTCTTTTAATTTTGTATCTCCCTCCTTGTTATTTCCCTTATTAGTATTATCTTGTACTTTAGTTATTAAACTGTTCTTATCTTAAGCCATGGGTTTCACATTCTTTCAATTCGTCTCCCCATCCTACCCAGATGTACAGTATACAATATGCAAAATAGGACTATCAATTGCATTTGGGTATCTTTTACTTTAAACTTTCTACAGGATTTCTCCACAAGTAATGTTACTAAGAAAAATAAACCACATCAATAGGTGGATTTCTGAAAAGTCAGCTATTATTTTATCTGAATCAAGAAAATTAAGATTTGGTTTTAATGTCCAAGATATTTTTATATCTGATTTTCACTTAAAAACAAACATGAGGGTTTTCTGTAATTGAGATACTTGAACTGTTGCTTTTCTTCACTGAGGGTACATGCTTGAAGAGACATGCATTTCCATTATTTAAGCCACTGGTTTATGTAACATTTATCTTCTTTCAATCATAACAAAAGAAAGAGCCACAGTAATGCAGTAAACATTATACTTGAAGCCGAATACAGAAATAGTAAAAATCCTATACCAATTTTAAGTGATATTGACATGGAACATAAACAGCTTCTGCTAAACAAATGAACAACAACAAAAAAAAAGTTAAAGTTCCTCTCCTTTACAGAAAAACTGATGAAACAAGTTCTGTTTCCCATAATTTGGATGCACCCATGTGAACTGAATATATAATCAGGTTCAGATAAACAAATTACAGCACTAACAAAAGCAAAGACATGTCATGTAGTTGTTTGGAATAGTTTGTAAGTACTTTATATAATGTAGGGGATGGATTTGGCTTGGGTCTACTACTAAATATTTTTTTTTCTTTTTTTATTTTTCTGTGGTTTAACTGAGAACATTTTTATTACATCTAAAGCATTCTTTTGTGTTTATGTCCACATGGAAGAACAGGCCTAGATCAAGAAGGAAAATTAAGGTGTTTTTATTCAATTGTCAATTTTTTCCATGTTCTCAAAGAGTACCTAACACCAACTATTAAGGTGTGCTGGAGTTAACTGAGCTGTTCAGAAGAATGTGAAGCAGGAAGGAGCTGTACCCCATCATGTTAAAGTTGTGCCTGCAAATGGTGAGCGGCCTCAGCAAAGAGCTAAAAACTTAACGTTTCTCAATCCACAGATCTTGGATTCTTCCATGTACAAATTCCATACAGGGAATTCTCTACAGCCTAGGTCTAGCACAGAGTCTTAATCCTGCCTCAGTCTTCCCCATAGCTCTGATGTTCAATTGAACAAGTTCAGTAAAAGACACTACCTCTGGGGCGCTTATCTCCAGGCAGATGATTTCTGACCACTGGGTTAAAATGTACTCCACAAAATGAGTAGCTCCAGCACTGTATGAGTGAAGGTGATTGGTCGAATGCCTGTTTGTGCTCAGCACACTCAACACAATTCACATTCAATGAACTCTGCAAGGAATTTATTCAAAAAACTCTTTTGTGAATCTTAAATGGTCATAAATAGCCAGTGAACATATGTCATGAGAAAACATCAGGTAAATGGGAAAGTTACAGGTGAATGCCTCCACCTTTGTTAGCACTGAGGCAATTCAGAAAGAGACTTCCATAGGTTCCAAATTCTAATTCACAAATCACACCTGAATTACAAGTCAATTCACTTCTTTATCACAGTT